GTCTCGACCAACAAGACCGCCGTCTCGACTTAGCTAAAAATGAGACCTCCATCCCGCTTGGCGAGATGGCCGTCTCGTTTAAGGCCAAAGTTGAGACTGTCATCTTGACTTCCCAGACGGCCGTCTCGACTTGCACAAAACCGAGACCACCGTCTCGACTTTCCAGACGGCGGTCCCGGATTGGATTTTTCCCTATAAATAGGGGAAGGGGTCTTGAGGCTGTCCACAACTCCTCTGCACTCCAACTCTCAGATCTCTCACTTCCAAGTGCCTTTTTCGACAAAATGTTCTGTGGAAGTCAGTCAAGGAAGAGAAGAGGACCTGCTGACCCTAGCAGTTCCTCAGCACCTGCTCCTCAAGACCCCGCACGGCTCTCACTGCTACACCAGGCTCGCCTAGAGCACATCAGGGGGTACGCATGGCACCCCATGCTATAGCTAGACTTCGGCATCCTCGCCGAATTTGGATGGGAGGACGACGTCCGGGCCAACATCGACAACATTGGATGGGGTTTCCTCCTGCAGTCTCCCCCCACCCATGTGTACCCTCAAGCAGTGATGGAGTTCTTGGCCTCCATCTCCTACGCCGAAACTCCTGCCATGATCCCAGGCCTGTCACCGACGAAGATGGTGACATACTTTATGGGTGGGATGTATCGGATCACCACCCTAGACGAATTCAACGTGTCTATTGGATTCGTCCGGCCCGAAGACGTGCTGACCCGGGAGTACCAGGAGGCCATCTGCGCACGCCCCACCAACCTCACCACCGGCGAGATGTGGGAGGAGATCACCAGGGCACCCACATTGCCCACACTGATGAAGGGCTCAGCACTCCCCCCGGCCCTCCGCATTTGCCACAAGCTGCTGGCGGGGAGCATCCACGGCAGGAAGGCGAGTCAGGGTAAGGTAACTCTCCCCAACCTCTTCGTTCTTTACTGCATGTGCCAGAGGCATCGATGCAACCCTGCTACTTCTTCCTGAAGGCCCTCAAGGACTTCGGAAGCAGGTCGGTGGGAGATCTCCTCATGGCCCCCCTCATCACCCCCCTGGCAGAAAAATGGGGGTGCAGTGGCTGGGAAGAACTGGCCTCCAGCCAACGGCCCGAGTCTATCAACAGGTCAATACTGGTCAGCATGGGGATGCTGATGTGCCGCGGAACCCAGCTGGTCCTCCACCCATCGCTGGATTTCGCCTTGGACCTCCAGGACATCGTGGCAATGCACGATCTCCCGACACCTCCCAATTTCCAATAGCCACAACAGCAGCATCAACATCAGCAGTACACAGACGACTTTGCTGGTGTAAACCGCAACATCTACGATCTGCGCCAACAATTTGAGCAGATGTCTGTAAGGCAAGAACAGATGTCCCTAAGACAAGAAGCCTTCGACACCAGACTGGAGACGATATACCAGTATCAGGAGGGAATGAGGCAAGACTGGGCAACGTTCCAGCAAGAATACCGAGATGAAGTCTGGGACCAAGCAGAGTTCCGGAGGCACATGTTCCAGCAATTCCCCTCCTACGGATCGTCTCCAAACGATAGCCCATAGTCTTAGGGATAGCACTTATAGAATAGGGCTGCTGTAATAAAATCTTTCATAAATAAAATTTTTATTCCATGCATATTTTTATCCCTTCCAAAAGTCAGCGTAATCAAAAGAAGATAAAGAGTCAAAAGACTTACGCTCAAGAAAACAAAAGCCAAAATCCAAAATCGCGAGAAAAAAAGAGATAAAACCGCGAAAAAAGGCAGGATTGAAACAAAGTCAACCACCTTGATCAACAAAACTTCGACAAACCAGGCAAGAGTTGAACACAAACAAAGCCCACCCAACCAGCTAGCAAGAGTTGGGTGATCACCATCAAAAGATCAAAAACAAAGAATCCCCAGCAACCAACAAGGCTGGATGAACACCAACAAAATCCCCAGCACAAACTGGACGCACAAATCAAAAACAAGAAAACACATCTCAACAACGGGCGCATGAGCCACCTGAGCAGTAAGCCGCCACTACCACCAGTCCTACACAACGGAATGTACCAGCCTGATGGGGGGTTCATACCCATCTAGTCCAACACACAGCGGACTGCAAACTACCAGCCTGATGGGGGGTTCATACTCATCCAGTCCAACACACAACGGACTGCAACTACCAGCCTGATGGGGGGTTTATACCCATCAACCGAAGGATCGGCTACAGTCAGAAGGAGTATCCTGAGGTTCTACCACGTGTCAACCAAAGGGATCGGCTACCGTCAGAAGGAGTATCCTGGAGGTGCACGACACAAACTTTCCCCAGAGGATCAACCGCCACAAGTCGGAACATCTGAAGGGTAACCGGGCAAGAGGGTCAACTCCTTTACCTCCCAGTCGTTCTTCTTGGCACAACAGGCCAACAGCCAACTGGTCAGTAAAGGGGGGGCAGCTGTAGACCCCTAATCTTGCCCGACCTCATAATAAAGACCAGAAGACCTTCTATTCGAAGATGGATGAAGCCTAAGAAGCCACTAGGAGAGACTATTAGGCCCCATACAAGGATAGGAGGGATTTTTGGCCCAAAAATAAGTATTTTCACCTTTTAAGGTCGAGACCGCCGTCTCGGATTCGAGACCACCGTCTTGCCTTGCGCAAATGGCAAGACCGCCGTCTCGTTTGGCGAGACGGCCGTCTCGACCTTGTCAGACGAGACGGCCCGTCTCGACCTGACAGGCGCAAATCCCTATAAAGAGAAGCGCCATTCCACTCATTTCACACAGTTCTTCCATTCTCTCTCTAGATATTTCTTCAAATTCTCTTTCTAGAACCCCTCCGAAGCATTTCCGGAGTTTCTGAGAGTTTTCTAGAGTGTTTTATAGCGTTTTGAGTGATTTTGGCGCTGTAAAGAGTGAAGGGCTGCCAAAACGCACCCTAATTGCAAAGATTAATAGAAAGCTTGCTTCGGAGGTTTCTACACACTCTCTCTCTAATTTACCGCTTTAATTTTAAATTATGCAATAGAAACTAGGGTCATGTAGTCATAATTTTAAATTCCGCAAAATAAAGGGTAAAAGCGTATTTTTCACCGGTTTATTTATTTATCCAAAGTAGCTAGCCCATCATAGGGAACCCGAAAGGGGCGTCGTAAGGGAAATAACACTTCCCTTACACGTAACTAACTCCCTTACCCAACTCTGGTTCTAATGACCAAAGTTGGTTTTTTCGAAAACCAACGCCTTTTAACCCCTTTTCCGATGTTTCCGGTAAAAACGTCGATGGCGACTCCAGAAGAACCCTTCAAAAACTAGTCCTTGGTTTAGCCTGGTTATCGTACAATCCAAGAACGCCTTTTTGAAAACCTCGCCCCTAGGTTCAGCCCGGCTATCGGACAACCTAAAGGCGTTGTAACCACACCAATAAAAACGCGAAAAATGGAAAGTCGGAACCATCGCATCGCTCCGACCGCCTGGTTTTGACGGCGGCGACAATCTCATTTTCTAAATGATTACAATTTTCACAAGGATTAATTACTTCTTTATTTTTAGATAGAGTTTTAAATTTCTCAACATCTTTCTTTAAGCACTCATTTTCTTTTTCAAGAATACTAACAGTAAGTTCTAATGTATGAACCTTTTGTTTAAGTGCAATATGTTTCTTAGCTAAACTGTCAAAATTTTCATACATTTCTTGATATGCTTCATGCAACTCATCATATGCAGTTAAGGACTTTGTGCTACTTACTTGTGATGAAGCTTCATCATCAATTTTTACCGTCAAGCAAAGATTTGCTTCTTCTTCTCCATCACTGCTTTTGGAAAAACTTTCTTGTGATGTAAGTGTCAATAGTGTTTTGGGCTCTTACATCATATTGGGCATGCTTGTTCTCATCTGACGACCATTGATCAAAGGACTTTGGAATAGCTCCATCTCCATCCATCATCGGAATGTAGGGACCGTTGAGTACAACATCCCAGACTCCATAATCCAATGTTTGTAAAAATATTTTCATCCTCGCCTTCCAAAATTGATAGTCTTCACCTTCAAATAGTGGTGGTCTGTTTATTGAGGCTCCTTCCCTGTAAAGTTGTTCATAATCGATTATGTTAGCAAATAAAGCAATTGTTTTTTAAAGTCTCACTATCATAATCGATTATGACAGTGAAAACTGTCATAATATGAAATTGTTTCACACTTGTGTTTCATAATATGAAAAATGTCAAAATACTACTTTATCAACTTGTACCTCCATATCTAGCGTTCTAAGACTTTATCTAGTCTTTGGGCTTGCTTGAGTCTTGAATTGTGTTGACTTGAATCTTCATCAAAATCATCTTCTTCAGAATGTAGGGAAATGTTTCACATTGCTATCAATCTTCCCCAAAGTGCTTGCACTAGAAGCCTTTAATGAAATGCATGAAGAAACAAAAAGACTTGCTAGAGAAAACAATAGATTAAAAGGAGTCAATAATTGGTTGGAAAATAGAGTAAAAACTATTGAAAATGAAGTTCTTGAAGTTAAAACTAATTTTGAAAATCTTAAAATGATTCACAATGATTCTGACTTCATATGTAAGAAATATGGTTTAGAAAAATCTTGTGAAAATTGTTCAGAGTTACATAAGAAAATTGGTTATTTGATCAAAATTGTTTCAAAGTTTGCACAAGGTAAAACCAATCTTGATGCTTTGCTTGGGTCACAAAAGTTTGGAATTGATTGAGCTAGCATTGGTTTCACTCTTATTATTGGTGAGAAAACAAAGGCCTTCAAAAATTATTTCTCAAATAGAAAACCTAATTCTATACCTTTCACCATATGTTTTTACTACATGAAAAGGG